TGTATGTAGCCGCAGCTACCAAACATACACGCATCCCCACTTTAAAGCGGGCTGATTACAGTAGGGAGTACCGGTACTTTTGATAGAGTATACTGTATAACCGCCACCAGTGGGCTGACATATAATTGTCACTTCCGGGACATTTGTTTTGAGCCAGCTACTAGCTTGGTTACTGTTGTACAGTATTACCACAACCAGCCAGCTTGACCCACCAAAACTGGAGTTTGCATTTTCTACCCTGTGACAACCCCCAATTTTGGGGTTATTTTTTAAGTATAAAACATAGTCTTATACGCCAGAAAATACTTAAATTAAAGTGATCCAAAGTCCTTCGTGAGCAAAGTCCATAAACCAATTCTCCTTCACCACATGAGATGATAACCAAGTGCCTCACAGAGATCCCCCATATTGATGTACACTCCTGATAATTGCCTTTCACTCTCATGGTTGGCAAACAAACTTCCTGGGATAAACTTCCCAATTATAGATGATGCTTATATATTGCATAAGAAAGAGACTCCACTACCTCGAGCTGTACCATGTAAAACAAACAGAAAGACGCTCCCAATGGGTTAGTGAATGGACATTACTCACAAGCAAACTAGTGTAAACAAGCCCAAATAATTTGACCATGGATAAGCCTGAAGTGATCATAGACCAGGTGCTCTATACCACCTCCGGTTTGTTGGTATCTGACGCCATAATCACTTGGCCGCCGCAAATTAGCTCTGACAGCGTTTCATCACTCTGACTTACTCATTCATCACTTTATTATTCATTTAGCTTATAACACTATTTATTATGCTATTCATTCATTAAACAGAATGCATTTTATGGAGAAGTGAACTTGCAAAACACCCACTAACCTGTAAATCAGCTGCAAAGAAATGATTTGGAACGGTCAGTATAGTTCTGCTGCAGCTTGCTCTCACAATAGAAACACCCAAACTTGACATGACAAAGTTTAGCAGTGAACTCAATCCGGACTGGAGTTGTTCAGTCAGTTCTTACCTCTTCAAGATGCCCAGCTGGAAGATGTGGATCAGACTCAGAGCGAGGCATCGTGGATGTCCATCGGAGTGAAGCCAGGCAAAGCTGAGAGCTTGGATGAGGCAACCAGGAAAGAACAGGCCGAGAGTCCATGCTGCCCAAAGGTACTGGGCAGTAAGGAAGTAATGTACCACCACTGCGCATTCTGTCAATAAAACACAGCATGAGAAAAGACGTTTAACCACTTCAAGACCAGACCAATTCTGACAGATGTACCCTCCTCCCCGTGTTTGTACCAGACCTGACAGGTGCTAGTGGTCCTGGACTTCCCAACTGCATCAGAGAGTCCAGAAACAGTGTCGGGGGGGCTTTCAGTTCCCTGTAGAAGTGATCAGGCTTCTACAAAGCCCCACTTCTGCAGGAAAGCCCATCACAGGCTGAAAATTTTGATACCAAAATAATGGCAGCTATGATCTTGGTATAACAACTTCAAAAAGAGGATATACAGGTACTTCCTAAACGCGTGAAGTGGTTAGAAACGAAGATAGATAGATATACAGTATATATATTTGCATGTTCTCCCTGGGCATGTGAGTTTTCTCCGTGTACTCCGGTTTCCTCCCAAACTCCAAAGCCATGCTGGTAGGTTAATTGGATCCTGTCTAAATTGTCCCTAGTATGTGTATGTATGAATGCGAGTTAGGGACCTTAGGTTGTACACCCCTTGAGGGTTAGGGACTGATGTGAATGTATAACATGCATATGTAAAACACTGTGTAAAAATTGATGGTGCTATACAAAGTACCTGTAATAATAATAAAATAAATATAAATACTTTTTTTATTCATTCCTCTAGCTCTGCAATCCTCCTCTCTGTACAAACAGCTCCTGAAGTCACATTTGTGATGCAGTGCACCATCAATCACTGGGACAATATGGGTTTGAGGAAGGAGTCCCTTGACTCCATTATCAAATCGGGACCAGCATCTCGTCTCCTGCACAAGATATGTGCAACAACACACAATATACAAAGAGGGGGGGGGGTCTCCAGAATCCAAAGGCTTGCTTGCCAGCATTTCCACTCAGCACCCCTGTGCTTGCTCCTGGGCAACTGCAAACGAGTGGCCCCTGCTCCCTAGGATAAAGGCCTGTAAGGATAAAATAAAAAACAACGTGTCCTGTCTGGCCGAGGAAACACATTAAACTAATGTGGATCATGTGTTCCCTGGTTTAGGTAGGAGGAACCTGTCACGGTCGCTATCCGATCGCCGCCACCAACATGCGACAAAGTCGCACGACCGCGACCAACAATAATACGTCACGCCGCGGGCGTCAGACCCCAGACCTCCTCACCAAACTCATGACCGAAGGACCAGGCCGATCTAAAAACGCAGTGTGGGACACACGTAACAAGGCCACACCCAGCTGCACCCTGCACAGCGATTGTCCAGCTAATGGGCTACAATCGGTGCCTGCAGCCTGAATGCGCTTGTTACTGGGTCGGGTTAATTACACAACTAACCCTCTACTGCCACCACCACTTTTGTCGGAGACTGGGAAACTCCCGTTACCAAATATACACTATAATGATTGAAATATTGATCTATATAACACGGTCCGCAGGCCAGTTATACAGGGTTATAACAAACAGTAGCGTTCAGCTTCAAAAGGCAGGAATTCGTGAATTGCAAGTAAGCTCTTCAGAAACAGTTTAACACTTTCAGAAAGAAAGATTTATTACTAAAAGAGTCACCAACAGGTGCAATAAAATATTTACAGAAAAAGATGTAACTAACATATATATTTATATATAGATAAAGACCCTCAACACAGCAAAGAGATAATAGGAAGGAAGTTACAGGGTTAAGTTACTTGCCAATACGCCTTGGTTTGTAAGCAGATCCAAGTTCCAGAGCGGAAAGGGTCTTTGATCTCCTGCTGTTCGATGTTAAGATCAGGAGATGTGTTTTGCTTAAACTTTAGGCTTTAGGCTTGCCAGCCTGTCTTTTTTAAAATCCCCCTGCAAGGGGGGTGGCTCTGAATACTGGCCACTACACTGTTTTGGGAGGGGTCAGTTGGGTGAACTCTGAATTAGAACCAACATCTGTCATAATCCATGACATGAAAACATAGGGGAAAAAACCTATTCATTTCATTCTGTCATCTTTAATCTGTTCGGCACTTTTGTGAGGTTACAATCTCTTTCAATTCCTGGGAGAAACTGCCTTATACTGTTTTATGATGGGTGAGCCACTACACAAGTTTTTGGGTCACTGCTTCCCAATTCTCTGAGGAATGTTGGCCTTATCATGACTTAGGTGAGGAAGGCTCTACACTTTTGCAGACTGCTCGGCACTGAAATAAGGATAGCTTAACCACTGCGGTTGACCCACACCATCTGTTCGGACTGTGCATCACATCAATGCCGGAAGGGAGGGGGTAGGGTAATTAAGGACCGAGGAATACCTCCAATAGAAAAGAGGAACATCCGCGTCCAACTCTGATGAGCCAGTTTGCTACAGAACCTCTTTTTTATAAGGCTCCTTGTACACTGAGTAGCTATCCTGGAAGATGACTGGGGAAATGAATATACAGTGGATATAAAAAGTCTACACACCCGTTAAAATGTCAGTTTACAGTTTTTTTTTTTTTAGTAGATTTTATCAAACTTTTAGGAGTAGATTTTATCAAAACGCCAAACGCTTGTAAACGAGGCTCACTGCATTTATAAACATTTGGAAAATGTTTTTAATTCTTCCATTTCTAGATGCGGTCCTGAGCCTTTTTCATCATGAATAATGCATGCAAAGCGTTTTCCCGGTACTCAAATGGACCCGGTACACCATACTTTGAGGTTTCGCATGAAAGAAAAATATGTTAGACACAGCTGCAATAATTTCTGCACAGAAATGAGCTGGAACACATCCAAACACCACAAAAAAAAAAAAAAAACAAAGACAGCTAATCTCAACACATACTGCTCTCTCTGCTTCTGCTCTCTCCATTTCTCTCAAAATGTGTGAAATAGTTTATTGTTTACTGTTTTTCAGTGCATTCTGGGCATTTAGGAAGGTCTCCTGAGGTTATCTTAAAAAAAACGCAAACGCGCAAAAACGCAGTATGCAAACGCAGCAAAACAGGTGTTTTTTACCCTACATTTTCCAGCAGTCAGTTTCCATCGTTCAGAAATGTCCCGAGTACATGGGGCTTTAAACACCTAGACTAGGGGTCTCCAAACTTCTCAGTATGAGGGAAACTGTCTTTTTATAAATACACGTGGCCTTAAAAAAAAAAAGAAACAAAATCAGCTTTATAAATGAATGGATAGAATTTAAAAACGCATGAATACACATGCTCCAAGAAATAACTTCATAGCTGAATAACAGAGCCCAAGTCAATTGAATTTTCATTTGCGCTGGATTCAGCCCATTGAAGGAGTGCATGCAGGATTTCAAGAGCCCAGCTTTCCCAGGAGGCACCTCACCCGCAGCTCTTACAAGTGCTGAGAGCCAGGACTAGGGCAGGTATTCTTTTAGCTTTTTTATGTCAGTCTTAGTATTTTTAAGCCAATTCTGTTTGCGAGGGGGTGGGAATGGCAGTAAGGTGGAACTTCAATTTTTCTCAGAGGGTTCGCTTTTAAGGAGTTATCTGTGTGGCCTGCTTTGTGAATTTCCCAAGAGAAGAAAGAGAATGTCTGATGAGTGGTATCTCACAGTTCAGAGACCCGAGAAACCAGGGGTTGTGGAAGTTGTGGATAAAAAGTCGCCAAATAGTTGAGGTTTGTCCCATATGGAAGAAAACCAGATTTGAAATATATTTTTAAAATATTCTTACCAAATATATTGACATATACTTGAAATACTACAATTTTGGCCATATTCTCTACTGTGCCGCAGTCTCTGGTCATCCCTGTACTGTGTCCGCAGTCTCTGGTCATCCCCTGTACTGTGTCCGCAGTCTCTGGTCATCCCCTGTACTGTGTCCGCAGTCTCAGGTCATCCCCTGTACTGTGTCCGCAGTCTCTGGTCATCCCCTGTACTGTGTCCGCAGTCTCTGGTCATCCCCTGTACTGTGTCCGCAGTCTCTGGTCATCCCCTGTACTGTGTCCGCAGTCTCTGGTCATCCCCTGTACTGTGTCCGCAGTCTCTGGTCATCCCCTGTACTGTGTCCGCAGTCTCTGGTCATCCCCTGTACTGTGTCCGCAGTCTCTGGTCATCCCCTGTACTGTGTCCGCAGTCTCAGGTCATCCCCTGTACTGTGTCCGCAGTCTCTGGTCATCCCCTGTACTGTGTCCGCAGTCTGTGTCACCCCCTGTACTGTGTCCGCAGTCTCTGGTCATCCCCTGTACTGTGTCCGCAGTCTCTGGTCATCCCCTGTACTGTGTCCGCAGTCTCTGGTCATCCCCTGTACTGTGTCCGCAGTCTCTGGTCATCCCTGTACTGTGTCCGCAGTCTCTGGTCATCCCCTGTACTGTGTCCGCAGTCTCTGGTCACCCCCTGTACTGTGTCCGCAGTCTCAGGTCATCCCCTGTACTGTGTCCGCAGTCTCAGGTCATCCCCTGTACTGTGTCCGCAGTCTCAGGTCATCCCCTGTACTGTGTCCGCAGTCTCAGGTCATCCCCTGTACTGTGTCCGCAGTCTCAGGTCATCCCCTGTACTGTGTCCGCAGTCTCAGGTCATCCCCTGTACTGTGTCCGCAGTCTCTGGTCATCCCATGCAGTCTCTGGTCATCCCCTGTACTGTCCGCAGTCTCAGGTCATCCCCTGTACTGTGTCCGCAGTCTCTGGTCATCCCCTGTACTGTGTCCGCAGTCTCAGGTCATCTCCTGTACTGTCCCAGTCACTGTCACTCCTGTACTGTCCGCAGTCTCTGGTCATCCCCTGTACTGTGTCCGCAGTCTCTGGTCATCCCCTGTACTGTGTCCGCAGTCTCTGGTCATCCCATGTACTGTGTCCACAGTCTCTGGTCATCTCCTGTACTGTGTCCGCAGTCTCTGGTCATCCCATGTACTGTGTCCGCAGTCTCTGGTCATTTTCAGTACTATGTGTCTGCAGTCCATTGGTTCACAATATTTTTTTTCTTGTTTTTCACCTCTAAAACCTAGGTGTGTCTTATGGAGCGAAAAATACGGATAGATAGATAGATACACACACACACACGTTGAAATATACCAGGTGTGTGGCCCTGGAATCGAGAAACTGTCAAATAGCTGCTAAGGGAGATGCCAGTGAAGAGCATTTGCAATAACTATCCCTGCTCTGCCTTAGCGTGACCACTATCCCTGTTCTGGATGGCCATCTCCTTACAACAAACAAACTTAAAATACAACTTAAAAGGCAAAACTTTTTTTTTTTTTTTTAAGTTTTGGACAGAGTGGAGAGTGATTAGAACACCTGTCAGTTTTTCTCGCCATCCTGTGCCCATATTAGGGAGATTCACCCTCTCCATTTGTCCTGCTTGCCATTATCATTGAAAAATTAAAGTAAAAGAAAATGCCAAATTTTGAGCTGTCTCCAGAAAAGCAATAGAGGGGAAATCTTCTAATGGAGACACTAGTTCTGGTGACCGGGGGGCCCCTAGGGATTCCCTCAGTTTGCTGGGATTTCCTCTCACTTCCCGTTTTGGCTATGGGACAGGAAGTGAAGGGAAATCTCCCCAATGGGACACAGATGACAAAAACTAAAACTGACGGGTTATAACCCTCCCTTACTCTATCCAAAAAGAAAAAAAAAAAAAAAAAAAAGTTCTGCCTATAGTTCTAGTTTTATACAAAGTAACTTACTCCAGCCTTAACATCTAACTTCAGACTTACAATAGAACTAAAAGGCAAAAAAAATTTCCTCGTTTTGGATGGTGGGGGGTGTGACGGTGCACAGCATCAGACCCTAGCCCTTCTCACCAACTTGTGACCGAAGGACCAGCTGATCTCACACCACGATGTCACTTGCGTAGCAATGCTACTCTCAACTGCGCCCTGCACAAAGATTTTCCAGCTTGCAGGACCACAATCAATGTGCCAGCACAAGGGTGGGCAAACTGCGGTTCTCCAGCTGTTGCAGGACTACAAGTTACATCATGCCTCTGCAAGTCATAGCTGTAACTGTCAGTTTTGTAATGTTGCAATACCTCATGGGAAATGTAGTTCCACAACAGCTGGAGAGCTGCAGTGTGCCCACCCCTGTGCCAGCAGCCTGAGAGCGATTGTTACTGGGTCAGGTTAATTACGCAATTAACCCTTCACACTGCCGCCGCCACCTTTTTACAGGGAAGGAGGAAACTCACAAATCTTAGCAGTAACACTATGATATTATTATAAGCATCTGTAACACACTGCCACCGCAGACAGATGTATTCAGAGGATTATTATATACAGTAGCACTCTTCAGAGACAGGGATTCTTTAGTTTACATTAAAAGCTTTAGAGACAGTTCAACACTTTTCAGAAAATAGGATTTATTACTAAAAAGGTCAAAATGGTGCAATTAAAATATTTACAGAAAACGATGCAACAAAGAAATAAAGAGAGCAATAAAACAACAGAGAAATAAAAGAAATCAGTGTGCCCAGTTCCTGCAGAAGTTTATGAATTTGTATGAAAAATGACTCCTGTGAAATGTACGATTTTATGGCATGCTTTAGCCCTAATGGCCTAACAGGTGATGACTGACGAGTTATTGTTTTACGATGGGGCAGAGGAAAGTGGTTTTCAAGCAGACCTCCTGGAACCAGACTAATTAGGGGTTTACAACCATGGAGCTCATCTAGCTGTGCTTATTTAGGATGATATGCACTTTTGAACTCAGTTCACTTACAGACTCACATTCCATTCAAAAGGGAGGAGGGAGGACAGGAGAGACAACATGGGCGCGACCCAACAAGATGGCTGTCAGTGTTTATGTCTCTATGCGCACAATTGTCACAGGGGACTTAAAACCGCTCTCATCGTTTTGCCATCTACGTCACTTTGAGGGAGATTACCATTAACTGAAAGGCCTCGCTCCGTGATACCTCTGCCAAATCTACTTTTGAAACAAAAATTTCACATTAACCATTAGCCGCCTGGCCTATAGCCGTTTGGCGGCCGCAAAAATGCTTTAGCTTTCCGGGGTGTACGCCATTTGGTGTCCTCCCGCACATGCGCGGTTGCAGAGCCGCGCAGCAGCGCAATCTGTCACCGGCCGTGTACCACGGACACGGCCGGTGACAGATCTGAGTACCGGCCCCCGTTGCCGGTACCATGTGACCTGCTGTGACCAATCACAGCAGGTCACATGACAGTTCTATACAATGGATGGCTTCATTCATGCCATCCATTGTATACTAGTGCCTAGCTGTGAATGGTCACAGCAGGTCACATGCACGTCATGTGATTGGCGGTGGCCAAATCACAGCTAAGCACAAAAAAAAAAAAAAAAAAAAAAAAAAAACCCTGAATGAATCGATGTCATTCAGGTAAATGCTTGCTTATAGCAAAATAATTCTTTGCTATAAACACATTGTGTAAAAAAAAATAAAAATAAAAAAATACTGATCACTTCCCCAAAGTAGTACAATGTTACTATGGTAACATTGTACTACTTTGGTCATAGTAAAATCTTAAAAAAAAATAAAAAAAAAGTAATAAAAAATTAAAAAAATATATATATATATTTTTTTTTTTTTCATACTGTCACCAGTCAGTGTCCCTGTTCACCGCCATGCCAGTTATATGATGACGCTGTACTACACTGGTGACAGTATGTAAAAAAAAAAAAAAAAAATAGTTAAAATTATTTTTTAATTTTTTCATTTTCTGAAAAGTTAGGACAAAAAAAATACAACTTAAAAAAATCACCATTCCTCTTATGAAGTACGTCAGACTGTCTACTCTGCAAAAAGGGGTCATTTGGGGATATCTGTACTATTCTGACATTCTTGGACCTCAAGAAATTAGATTGGCTGTCAGTACTTCAGGATTGATCAATATTCAGATCTATACCATAGTTTGTGAACTCTATAACTTTCCTACAAACTAAATAATACATCCTAATTTGGGTTATTTTCACCAAAGACATGTAGCAGAATACATCTTGGCCTAAATTTATGAAGAACAATTATTTATTTGTAAACTTTTATAACAGAAACAAAGAAAAAGTGTTTTTTTTTTTCAAAATGTTTGGTCTTTTTTTATTAATTTAGCAAAAAATAAAAACCCCAGCGGTGATTAAATACCACCAAAAGAAAGCTCTAGTTGTGTGAAGAAAATGACAAAATTTTAGTTTGGGTACAATGTTGTATGACCGCGCAATTGTCATTCAAAGTGTGAGAGCGCTGAAACGTGAAAAATGGCCTGGGCAGGAAGGGGTAAAAGTGCCCGGTATGGAAATGGTTAAGGCTCCATGCACACGGGGCATTTTAATAACGCTGGTAATGTTAGCTATGTAAAGTCACGCTAAAACATGAGTTTTTCAGCGTTATTTAAGCGTTTAGTGGTGTTTGTGGTTTTTAGCATTTTTAGTGTTTTTTTTAACCAAAAAAAAAATTTTTTTTTTTTGTCAAAAAGTCAAAAATGCTGGTTTGCTGCGATTTACCACATTGTTCAGCGTTATAGCATTTTTACAGCTAAAAAACTCCTCTAGAAGCCCACTAGTTCTGGGTTTTTTTTTATCTCCAGCCAAAAAACGTTGATTACATTCTGTGTGCATGGACACATAGGATAACATGCTGGGGGTTTACTGGCTGTAGAAAAAAAGTCAAAAACCAAAAACAGCCGCTGTAAAAGAACTTAGGCTCCATGCACGTTAGCTTAACAACGGCAGCAGCAGCTTTTGAATGTTTTTTTTCTGCCTCAAGAAGCAAATAAGTGTTATCCTATGTGTCCCTTGCCCCAAAGCACCCCGCCACCCCAATGTTGAGGGCATGTGGCCTGGTATGGTTCAGAAGGGAGGGCGCTTACTCATTCACCCCCCTCCTTTCCTTGTATAAGGGTTTGGTATGGTTTTGGAGAGGGCACACAGTTTTTCGGGTTTTTTGGTGCGGGGTTCCCCTTTAAAATCTGTACCAGACCTGAAGGACCTGGTAGGGATTTGGGGGACCCCTACAGTTTTATTTTTTATATCTGCTTTTGTTTATTTTCAGTTGTCAGCGGGTAATCCCGGGATTACATCAGTTGTTAACCATTAGCCGCCCGGCCAATGGCCGTTTGGCGGCTTCAAAAGTGTTGCTGCATTCCGGGTGCACGCCATATGGCGTGCTCCCGCACATGTGCAGTTTGCGCTAATGCAGAGCGGCGCAATCTGTCACCGGCCGTGTACCTCAGACACGGCCGATGACAGATCCGAGTACCAGCTCCCGTTGCTGGTACCATGTGACCTGCTGTGACCAATCACAGCAGGTCACATGACAGTTGTATACAATGGATGGCTTCATTCATGCCATCCATTGTATACTAGTGCCTAGCTGTGAATGGTCACAGCTAATCACATGCACATGTCATGTGATTAGCTGTGACCAAATCACAGCTAAGCACAAAAAAAAAAAAAAAAAAAAAAAGAAGAAAAAAAAAAAGCTGAATAGAATCGATTTCATTCAGGTAAATGCTTGCTTATAGCAAAGTAATTCTTTGCTATAAGCAAATTGTGTGTAAAAAAAAAAAAAAAAAAAAATACTGATCACTTCCCCAAAGTAGTACAATGTTACTATGGTAACATTGTACTACTTTG